AAAAAAGATCTGCGTAAGTAGAACTTAGGCCACATAAAGTATTATTGGCTGTTAGCCAGGGTCTAGAATAATTTTGTTTTAAACGGAGGTTGGGTTGGCTTTATTGCTTTTGCCTGTTTTATCCTTTTGTGCTCCTTTTGTGTATTTTGGGTGGAAGCAGAGATAGATAGGAATGCTTAATCTACCATCATTGCCTTTGTATGGTTTCCTTAGGTCTTGAATCTTGCAGATTTAAAGGCAATTTTGAAGAATTTACTTGAGCAGTTAGGGCTGGCCACCACAGAAAGCTGTAGCACTGGGTGTTGGGGAGGGCAGAGCTGTGAAGGGACTCTAAACCAGAATCTATAGAACGGTAAAAATTTTAGGTATGGAAAAGGGTATATTAAAGGTCTCCCAGCCCAGCACATATGTAATGCTTGTAATCCACACATACGATTCTTCTGTAGGGTTCTTCTCATGTGGTCATCTCATAGCTGCATGACATTGTTAGTGACAGGGAATTCACCAGCCCTTAAGGAGGTACCTTTCATCATGAGATGGATCTGATCCCTACTTCTTCTTTAGGCAGACCTGAAACCTCGCTCACTGAAGTGTCCACATTGGTCTTAATTTTGGTTCCCGGGGTCATACAGAAAAATTCTTATCCCTTTCTTATGTCCTTCATACATTTAAAGGTAGCACATCATTCCTATCTCTTTTGGGATTCTCATCTTCAAACTAAACATTCAATTCCTTCAATGATTTATTATTGTCCTTGTTCATTTTATCTGAATGTGCTACAGTGTATCCATTTCTTTCGTATAGTCTGTTACACTGATAGGAACTTTATTCCAGATGTGTTCCCATGTTTTAGATTACAGGGGCTTAACATCTACATTTTAATTCATGGACATTTAATTCGTGTCGTTTTTTCTTCTGTTGCACCAGAACCCAGATGGCTCCCTCTCCCAAGCAGCAATGATGCAGAGTGCCTTGGCCAAAGAAAGGCGGGAACTTAAGCAGGCCCAGCGGGAAGCTGAGATGGATTCTATTCCCATGGGACTCAACAAACACTGGGTTGACCCTCTGCCTGATGGTAGGACCCTTGGAGGGGTGTATGGACCTTGTTTAAAAATCTGAGCCTTCCAGAGCACAGGGAGGGGTCACTCCCAGCACACACTAAAAATTTATCCTTGGGTAAGGAGTGGTGGCTCATGCCTATAATCCCAGCACTTTGGGAGGCCAAGGCAGGTGGATCACCTGAGGTCAGGAGTTCAAGACCAAGCTGGCCAACATGGTGAAACCCCGTCTCTACTAAAAAAATACAAAAATTAGCCGGGCGTGGTAGCATACATGTGTAATCCCAGCTACTCAGGAGGCTGAGGCAGGAGAATCGCTTGAACCCAGGGGTGGAAGTTGCAGTGAGCTGAGATCAGGCCAGTGTACTCCATCCTGGGTGATAGAATGACACTCCGTCTCGAAAAAATAATTTACCCTTGGTTTTTCACTTCAGTTAGAGCATGTTTGGTTTTTTTCTTAAACACATGTTTAAAACCAAAAATGTTTTAATAGCCATGGTCAAATCATTAGACTGAGTTTTTCTTCTGAATAACTTTAAAAATTTTACTATAGCCGGGCACGGTGGTTCACACCTGTAATCCCAGCACTTTGGGAGACCAAGGCAGGTGGATCACGAGGTCAGGAAATCGAGACCATCCTGGCCAACATGGTGAAACCCCGTCTCTACTAAAAATACAAAAAATTATCCGGGCATGGTGGTGTATGCCTGTAGTCCCAGCTACTCAGGAGACTGAGGCAGGAGAATCGCTTGAACCCTGTAGGTGGAGGTTGTAGTGAGCTGAGATTGTGCCGCTGCACTCCAGCCTGGCGACAGAGTGAGACTCCATCTCAAAAAAAAAAAAAAAATTTATTCTAAAGATAATACAGCTTTGAAACTTCCTTTTTCATATATTTCTTTGTGCAGAAATTTTAACTACTATATGTAGTCATAACAAATACTTACTAATTTAATTTGTGTTTGGCAATTGGAGATACAGATGTGAATTAAACAGATACGACCCCTGCTTTTAGACACTACAGCTTAGTCGGGGAAATTGATGTTAATTAAATAATTACCAAATAATTACATTATGATCAGTGCTATGTGAAGAAGTACAGGCAGTGTAATTGACTGTGGTGGGTCACTTTCCTGGGGAAATTGAGACCCAAAGGATAAATGGGAGTCTGTCAAGTGGGGATGGGATGGAGGTTGGGAGGTGTGTTCCAGCCTGAGGAGTAGCCCATGTTGGGTTTGTGGGGTGGGAAAGAAGGAACTGAAGGGAAGCCTGTGTGGATGGAATAGAGAGAGCAAGGGGCATTGGTAGGGGATGAGATAAGAGCATTGGACCAGGGCTTTGTAGGTGGCATTAGGAATCTGGGCTCAATTCTTACAGCACTGGGAGATGTTGAAAAGTTCTTTTGTTGTTGCTGTTGTTTTTGGTTTTGAGATGGAGTTTTGCTCTTGTTGCCTAGGCTAGAGTGCAGTGGCATAATCTCGTCTCACTGCAACCTCCACCTCCCTGGTTCAAGCGATTCTCCTGCCTCAGCCTCCCAAGTAGCTGGAATTACAAGCATGCACCACCACGCCTAGCTAATTTTTTGTATTTTTAGTAGAGATGAGGTTTCTCCATGTTGGTCAGGCTGGTCTCGAACTCGCAACCTCAGGTGATCCACTCACCTCGACCTCCCAAATTGCTGAGATTACAAGATGCCACCGCATCTGGCCAGATGTTGAAAGTTCTCAGCTGGCACATGGTATGACCAGAGTTGCATTTCCAAAGGATGATTCAGGCTGCCCTGCAGAATGAGTTGGATGGGGCACATGTGATGATTTAGGAAGCTTTTCTAATAATTCAGAAGAGAGAGGATGGTGGCTTGAACATGGAGGTAGCAAAGAGGAGGGATGTACTTGAGAAAAGTGATTCGTTGAATGTGGGGCATCAGGAATTGTCAAAGATAACTTCCAGGTTTCTGGTATGAGCACTAGGATGAATGATGGGAACACCGGAGGAGAAATGGGTTTGTGGGGAAAGATGGTGAATTCCGTTTTGGACTTGTATCTGAGACAACTAGAGGACGTCTTAGGTTGAGGTATCCAGTGTAGAATTGAGTATGAGAGCTCAGAATAGAGGTCTGGGCTGGAGACAGAAGTTTGAGAATTGTGTTAATTTAGATATCAGTTTGGCTGCATGTAATAAAGATTTAAATATTAGATTAGGTTCGACATGATGGCTCACGCCTGTAATTCCAACACTTTGGGAGGCTGAGGCAGGAAAATTGCTTGAGGCCAGGAGTTCAAGACCAGTCTGGGCAACCTAGTAAGATCTTGTCTCTTTTTTATTTTATTTTATTTTATTTTATTTTATTTCATTTTATGTTAAGTTAATGCTATGTATTTTATGTTATGTTATTTTATTTTATTTTGAGATGGAGTCTCACTGTGTTGCCCTAGCTGGAGTGCAGTGGTGCAGTCTCGGCTCACTGCAACCTCTGCCTCCCAGGTTCAAGCGATTCTCCTGCCTCAGCCTCCCAAGTAACTGGGACTACAGGCCCCCGCGACCATGCCCGAGTAATTTTTTTTGTATTTTTGGTTTCACCATGTTGGTCAGTCTGGTCTCGAACTCCTGACCGCCAGTGATCTTGCCCACCTCAGCCTCCCAAAGTGCTGGGATTACTGGTGAGCCACCGTGCCCAGCCCTTGTCTCCATTTTAAAATTAAATTTTTAAAAACAACAAAAATAAAAACCAAAATATTAGATTTAAAGTAGAAGGTTGGAAATATTCATTCATTGTTTAACAATGTCATCTTCCATTTCCTCAGAATAAACCCATTCATTCCCTTTTACCCTTTAGTGAAATGTTCTCCGTGACCCTCCTTTGACCTCTGCCAAAGCTCACTTATTTAGTTAGTAGGCACAAGTATTTTTTCATAGCCAGCTTTTGGCATCAAATTTGTAAAATGTTTGCATATTCTAGAGAGCCACTAAAATTCTGCTCATTTTTTTTGCTCCTCAAGCCACAATTCCAAGGTGAACCTTGAAAATATAAGCTAGGTCCGGGCAAGGTGGCTCACACCTGTAATCCCAGCACTTTGGGAGGCTGAGGTGGGCAGATAGCTTGAGTCCAGAAATTTGAAACCAGGCTGGGCAATGTGGTGAAACCCCGTCTCTGCAAAAAATACAAAAATTAGGCCGGGCATGATGGCTCAAGTCTGTAATCCCAGCAGTTGGGGAGGCTGGGGCAGGTGGATCACCTGAGGTCAGAAGTTTGAGACCAGCCTGGCCAACATAGTGAAACCCCATCTCTACTAAAAATAGAAAAATTAACAGACATGGTGGAG